GCCTGTTACTCTCTGCGTGCGACGGCGACGCGACGGCGACGCGACGAAGAACGCACGCGAAGACGCGGATCCAACGGATCGTCTTTTTAATGAGCATCCGTTCAGATTGCCACTGACAATCAGCAGACGGCGTTACGTCGTCTATCGCTCGCCGGAAGCAAATATGGATTCGTCGTGCGACGGTCGTACGACCGTCGTGTACGCCGCAGTGAGTGTCCGGCTTAAGCGTTGCTGTCGCGTTCAAGCCAAGTAAGATAAGCGAGGCTAAGCAAAGCCAAGCTCCTAGGAATCGACCGTGAAACTAAAGAGATTAGAATAAGAAAACGTGGAAGCATAAGGCTAAGAAAAAATAAGTTTAAACCACCTTTGCTATCTATCCTTTTCGGAAACGCTCAATCTCTAAACAATAAACTTGATGAACTTGCAGTTTCTGTTCAACACTTGAATGAGTATAGAGACAGTTGTTTGCTAGGTTTTTCAGAAACATGGTTTAGTGAACTGAACACTCCTTCGGATGTGGCTTTAGACGGCTTTCACTGTGAACGACTTGATTGAAATACACGTACAGGAAAATCGAAAGGCGGAGGAGTCTGCATATATGTTAAGGAACGATGGTGCCGCAATGTATCGGTGAAAGTCAAGTTCTGCTCGGAAAATCTAGAACTTATTAGCGTAGCCCATCGACCCTTCTATCAAAGGAATTTAGTCAGATAATAATCACCATGGTATATGTTAACGCTGGAGCTGATGTTAAGATAGCCAGTGCTAAGATAGACGAGATTTATCATCACCTTCAAAATATATCTCCTAATGCGCGTCAATAATTCTTGGTGACTTCAACAAATGTAAGTTAAATCACGTCCTACCAAATTTATATCAACATGTTAATATTTCAACTAGGAAGGAAAAAACAATCGACCTCTGCTACAGTAAATTTAAGACGAAGCCGAGGAGAAACCAGGTATTGTATCATCTGACCACAATAAATGGTGAAACTTTTGCCTAAGTACATTCAGATGTGTAAGCGCGAAAAACCTGTGGTTAAATCTGTCAAGAAATGGAGTAAGGAAGCTGAAGAAAAACTGAGGGACTGCTTTGATAATACAAATTGGGATATTTTTCTAGATAACGCGACTTCAAAAGATAACGCGACGGAATGCGTAACAGAGTACATTATGTTTTGTGAGAGCAACATTATATTAGAGGTGAAATTAAAAGTGTATGCAAATAACAAACTGTGGATAACAAAGAAACTGCGTGATCTCATAATTAGTAAACAGGAAGCCTTTAAAAATAATGACTATAAGCGTCTTAATGAAATTAATTTTTTTTCTCTCTCTTTCGTGGGGGCAACCCACTTTTATTCATTCTTCTTTTTCAATATCATTTTCATTTATTTGTACATAGTTTTTTTTTTTTTTTAAATAATCATGTATAAAAATAAAAGTATAGGTGAAACAGTGTTTGATATTTCAACAATTTTAAAAAGACTTTAAGTAATAAAAATTATATAAAATCTCATATTGTTATGTTGTTATTTTTTTACTTTTTTATTTGTTTTACTGAAATTAAATTGTCTATAATGAAGAAAACAAAGGAATTGAAAGCAAAATATGGCCAGAAAACAGAAGAGAGTTTTAAACAAAAAAAAAATGCTATATCAACATGGAAAGGCTTAAAATCAATAACAGGAATCGGAAAGAAAGCAACTAAGTTAGACTTGAACCTGAATTTAAATGATATGAACACATGTTTTACTCGTTTTAATTCAAATTGTTTTATTGATGACAAGGATAATATTATACAAGATATTAAACACAAATTAGACACCTTCAATTTAGAATTAGATGTTAATACAGTCAGAAATTGTCTTAAGAGTGTGAAACCTGGTAAAGCTACAGGACCAGATGGAATATCTGCGAAGCTTATCAAAATGTGCTCAAGTGAATTAAGTAATTGTCTTTCATAAATTATTTAACTGGTCACTTTGTTCACATACTATTCCTGTGCTATGGAAGACGTCTTCCATAACACCTCTTCCAAAGAAACTTAAACCAAGTATTACCAAAATCTATAGGTCTATGCTTTGACATCGATCATTATGATCATTATCGATCATTATTGTTAAACATATTTTGTTAAATGAATGTAACGCACTATACTTGATGCGTGTCAGTTTGCGTATAGAAGTAATAAAGTGGTTAGCGATACAGTCTTAACTCTTCTTCACAATATTCAATCTAATCTTGAAAAACACACTCCTATGTTCGCTCTATGTTCTTTTACTTTTCT